TACAAGTGCTTCTTCAGGCTCCCAGAAGGGTTCAAGGATGTCCTGAGCACCGGGAAAGCTTTTAATAAAGTCACAAAAAATGTAGGTTGTCATCAGGGCAGGTGTGCTGTGCTCCCGGGAGCAGCCCAGATGGAAAACAACAGAATAAGCACAAGGTATGTGTTTCCAGATTCAGGTCTCCAGGGAGCCCACTGCCAAGGTGAGTTCTGGTTCAACCACACCGGGCAATTTCTGAAGAGTATTTTCTCCCTTCTGCATTATGTTATTGTCTCCTTAAGCTGTCTTAAAATTCAATAATCACCATTGTCTACATTATTATATAAATAAAGTAATCGTGAAAATTATAATAATTCTAATTTTAAGAAGTTATTGAGCAAGAGAGAGATTTAAATAGAAAATCACTTTAAAAGAAAAATAAAGCTAGTATGCATAATAATATGAAAAGTTCAGATTTGTAGGAAGTCACTTAAAAGAGATTTGCTCTTGGATTATCAGAAAAATGTATTATGTCATAATTAGAGAAGCATACAATCAAAATATCTGAACATGTATATACTATTCTTGTCACTGAAGAGAATAATTCAAGAATCACACACATCATTATTATACAGCATGATACATAGAAACATTGGGTATTAATCTAAAGGAAAGTTAATTTTAAGCTCTGGAGACATTGTTTCCAATATTGCTTATTTAAACTGATTTATATTTTAAAAAGTGCTTTTCCCTCTTAAGACTAGTGGTATTCATTTATAAAAGATCATTTGAAAATCTCATTTAACTCTCTTACAATGATGTAGACTTTGCTAAGCAATTCCATTTAGTGCATGAAGTGAATAATTTTATAAGGTAGAACAATTTTCTTAGTTTAAATAATATGTCAAATAAAAGTACATCATTGTCTCTTACCCCTAAGCATTAACCAACTACCAAAGTGAGCTTAACTGCCTTATTCTAACCATCAGAAAGATTATCAACAAAAGTTAATTCTGATTTTCATTTTTTATAGCTACATCTTATTTTATTAAAATTACTATTAGGGTTTTTCCTAGCAGTGAAGAAAAAACTACAAATCACATTTTCCATTTGGAATAGTTCTTATCCTCCAGGAAAAAATCAATACATCAAAATTAAATTTCAAAACTGCATTAACAGCATCTTTGAGGTCAGGTATTCTAATAGTCTCTGAGTAGAAACTAAATTATGTAGTTTTTATATGTGGACAATATAATTACTTTTACCACCTTTTACTTTATAGAACACAACAAAACAGAAGTAAATTTGGTGAAAGGATTCAGTTAAAAAATAGAAGTCTGCTTATCTATGCCTTCTTAAGGCCATTGAATTTAATAATTTCATATGAGCATTATTTTTAACTTAAGGAGCCTGCACTAAAATATGGGAATTCAAAAGTTTAAGAAAAATACCAAAATTAAATAAAATAAAAATTATGGGATTTAAGAAATTGACATCTCTAACAGAACACAAACTCTTTAAAGACATCAAACTATTATTTAATAGGATAGGAAGCCTGGAAGATATCTTAGAAATCAATAAATCCAACCAGATTTATTTTAAAGAAAATCAGAAGCTTAACAATTAAACCACAGCTAAAATCCTCAATTTTTTTATCTTACAAACTACTCTTATAAGATCTCCTTTTTCTCCATTCTCCATTTCCTTATACATTGCTATGATTGTTTGGTGTTTGGCCCCTGGGAAATCTTGATACTTGAGATGCCTATTAACTCTATGAGGACAAGAGTTGATGTCTGATGTCTTGGTGTCACATCCATCCTTGTGTGACTGAGGAATCTCAAAGGAGGTGGATGGATTTGGAGAAGGGAAACACACGTTAGTGGACTTATTGTTAGGATTCAATAACTATTTGGTGACATAATACTAAAAAGTCATCATGATCTTGACACAGAAAAGATAATTCTTTGAAGATCATATTGGCATTAGAGAAATGATTCTTTTTCCTTAATAAGAGGTGGCAGAGACTGATAATTGAATCCCTAATGTCCATTCCCCTTTCTTAACTCAAGTACAACTTCCCTGACTTTACCAGACACAGGGATGCTTAGTTAGAAATTATCCATTCAAGTCTAACAAGTATCTGGTTGTACCTATCAAATTAACTTTTGTTAGTAGGATCTGAGTGCAGAGGGGTTTGTTACAAGAGCCTACAATGAAGAAATTTGTGCTCTATGTGTTATTCCTTCTTATCACGGGCTGCACTGTAGATACGATGAAAGTGACCACACTTCAAATTATGGTGGAATAAAAGTAAACAGGTGGAATAATATTTTCTAGGCAACTCATGGAGGAGAGCTACTCTATACCCTGGCCTGCCTCCCAGCTGTGACTTTTAAGTAAATCAGAATAAATTTTCAATCTATTTAAGCCACTGTTAAATGTCTTTTGATAAAGACTTACAAATTTCAGGGCCCATAACCTACAAAAACACATAGGAATAAACTAATATTCTGCATATAACCCTGTGTGTGTGTGTGTGTTGACAAAGGTTTAACCACAAAATAATTGCAATATAAGGAAAACCTATGCATGAAAAATCTTATAGGAACACATAGGGAATATGTACCTCATGTTTAATATATCAAAGAACATCTCATGACTTGCCTCCAGTGTTTCCAGTTTCTTCACACTAGACATTGAGCTCCAAAATGCTATGGAACACTGAAGTTTTGACAATTGTCACTTCACTTAATACATAGCAAATAAAGAACTGGAGCCTTCAGCCCCTCTAGAGTATTAGAATTTACTTAGCTTTGGCTTGGAGGCTGGGATTTATTTGAAGTGTTATCTTGCTCTAATCTCTTTTATTTTGATGTTCTCTGTTCATGCTTTAGATTTTGTAGAGTGCTGGACTTGGTAGGTAAGTACTTATACTCTCATAGTGTCTCTAAACATTAAACTTTAATGACATTATTTTAAACAGTTTGTAGATTTTTCTTCAACTTTGTGAGCTCCCCATCATTTACGTGTGTCCTTTTAATATTTGAAATCATTAGCCTCCATTATTATTTTTAATCTTTAAGAGCACAGCAGCATGATCAAATCCCATGCTTTATCATAGATGTTATGTAAGCCTACTTTATTGCTATATTTATGTATAAAGTACTGTCTAATTTCAAACTTTCTATTTGGTAACTATCATTTCTGATCCCTATAAAGACTCAAATTGTATGAATTGATTTCTGTGCAAAATCTTACGCTCTGCTCTCCCTTCCTCTGTCTCTTCACTCTTTTAAATTTTCCACACATTTTTCTGTATGCTTAAAACACACCATTGATTACCTGGTTTAATTTCCTTCTGTTTTCAATCCTGATTTCATTCTTGAATATGAGACTATAATATTAGCAAATCAATTTCTTGGGATTGTTTGAACTAAAGGAGATAATTTTCATATGGAATCTAACCCGGGGTAAGAAAATAATGCAGAATGATTATTATCATTACTATTCAATTTTAAAGTATTGTGTATGGAAAGTCTACAGTTTAATTTGAGCTAAAATGTCCATAAGAATCTATAATTTGGTAAAAGAATCATATGCTTTCACCATAAGTTTTCTGTGCATCTAATATTTCACATGACAATGCAATTTCTTTAAAATTACAAACATCTAAATCTTTAATGTCTTAATTTGGTGAATCATATAAATTATCTTACTTCAAGCTTATGTTACAAGTCTCCAAGGATTTTAGGTCTGAGGCACATCCGGTTTCTCTAATCATACTGTCCATGTGACTTTTCCCTAGATTTAGGAGGCCATGTACCTTTTTCAACTCACTGCCCAGAACTCTTAAAGACACAGCAAAAATTATTACAGAAATATTTGCATTTGAAATACACACTATATAAATAAATGTATGTATATATATAATTTACATATTTATAGTTCAAATGTGAAATTATAATGGAGCCATAGCTTAATGTTATATTATTTATTGGCTTGCTCTTTGGACGATGTTCCTCTCTAGAGGAAAATTATATTTTACTTAGGAGGAAATTTGCATTCAGTTGGGATTTCTATTACCTTTTGAGATATCATGACTAAGCCAGCCCTAAGGCAGAGAATGTATATGATCTCTTGTAAATGCAGTATCCTCTGTTTCAGCTACTGTGAGCTTACTTTTGAAAGGGTTCCAGTTATTCCACTTTGAGCAGTCAAGGTTTACTTCACAGGGTTAGGGGGATGGTTAAATTAGATGATAACTAGGAAGTTGACTGTTATGGTTTGGATATGGGGTGTCCATAGAAGTTTATTAGTGTAGGAATATTCAGAGGTAAAATGATTGAATTATGAGAACCCTAAGCAAACCAGTTCATCCTAGTTTGAATGAACTAGATGGTAACTATAGGCAGTGGGGTAAGATTGGAGAAGACAGATCACAGGAGGCATACCCTGCAAGGATACATTTTCCTTGTAGCCCCTTCCCCTATCTCTCTCTGCTTTCTGGCCACCATGAGATGAACAGCACTCCTCTGTCCTACACTTCTGCCATGATGTTCTGCCTCAGTCCATGGCTGGTTGACTCCACTACTCTGGGCCCCAGGTAAGGCAGAACATCATAGTGGGGGGTGTGGCAGGAAGCTGCTCAGCTTATGACAGAGGAAGCACAGGGAGGGAGGCAGGGAGAAAGGGGCAGAGTAACAGAGCACGAGGGCCAAAATATATAATCCCCAAGGCAAGATACCAGTGAACCACTTCCTCCAGCCATACTCCACCTGCCTACAGATACCACCCAATAATGCATTCCAATTATTAATGCGTCACCTGGATTATTCCTCTGATGAGGTTACAGCTCTTCCAGTCTAATCATGTCACCTACCGCATTACTATGGGAGCTTTGGGCAGAATTTTCATATCCAAACCATAACAGCCAATAAACTGAGTTGATGAAGAAAAGTAGCCATTAGTAACTTTCATGATACAGCTATGCTGAACATAATACTCATGTAAATGACAGATAATAAATTTAATAATTTATTAATTCAATAATAAATTTCTTTCAAACAAAAAAAAAATTAAGAAACATCTCTGAAGAACGGGAGAAAATCAGAGGAGCAGGGCAGGGGAGTGTCCCAGGGAGAACAGTCTCTGATGTCTTGGGCAGGTGGGGGCAGAGGAGACTCCTGATGCCAGTGGGTGCAGAAGTGCTCTTGGCTGGAGCCCGTGCAGAGAGACCTGAGGTACTGGCACATCTGGCTCCTGCAGCTGTTCAGAGTCACATGACTGATGTCACGCCCAGGTGTCAGGACCCTCAGGGCACAGGGTGCTCTGGCTGTCCACTGGACTTGTCTCTTTCACCTCTTCCCTTCCTTGGAGCCACACTGTTTAGGAAGCTGGCCCATTTATGCCTCTTACACTGGCACCACCTTCTTACTAACTCGAGGCAGGCAACAGCACAGGTGCCGGACACAGGCCGCAATCCTCCTAGTTACCCTCTTCCAACGATTTCTGTTGTTATGGGGTGGCACAGTGTCAGGCTGGGAGGCTGTATCAGGTGTGGGGGTGCTTGCAGGCAGGAAGGGGAGATGAATGGCCTGCAGGCTGGCCCTTCTGAGGCCCTTCCGTCCTGTCTGTCCGTCCTCCATACTCAGCTGCTGCTCACAGGGGAAGGTGTGAAGGGCAGGCTCACTGTGACTCCTCTTTGGGAGGACAGGGTGTGGGCGAGGCTTAACCCTTGGAGGCCCAGGCTTCCCCTGGAACATGCAGCCTGCCCCCTGACTTTTCTGGTGCTTCAGGATTAAGTAGGTAGCCATGGCTGTATCGAAATTTCTCTTGGCCAGAGACACCCAGATCTTGTAAGGATCATAGCCCATATCAATCAAGATGGTCATTATTTCAGGGTCGGGGTGTTTGGGGAGCGCCTCACTACAACGAGGGGGTAAATACTGCTCCCCCTGTGCCAGCCATGGGTGCTGAAGGATTTGCTGGGCTTGTAGGCTGCTTCCTGGGATCCAGGGTCAGTATTTGGTGGATGAGCCTCTGGGCTTCGACAGACAGATGGCGGGTGCCAAAGTAGGTTTCCAGCACAAGCTGCCTCCGCATCGCCGGAGTGGTGGGCCCCACAAATGGACACCTCCCTGTCAACATAAAGTACAGGATGACGCCCAGTCTCCAGATGTCCACCCGGGGGCCCTCAAACGCTTGCCTCAGGGCACATCTGGTAGCAAAATGATAGAGACTGCCCCAGAAATCCTTCCAACTCTGCCCAGAGGTGACCCTGGTGCTGAGGCCAAAGTCAATAAGCTTAATGTTGCCTCCGGCATCCAGCAGGATGTTGTCTGGCTTCAGGTCTCGGTGCACGATGCCCTGGGCATGGCAGTAGCCCACTGCACACACCATCTGCCAGAAAAGCCGCCGGGCCTCTTCCTCCTGCAGGCCATTCTCTGGGACGTAGCTAACTAGCTGTCCCCCACCTGCGGGCTCCATCACCATGTAGATATGGCTGCAGGTCTCAAAAACCTGGAACAACTGGATCACGTTGGGATGCTCCAGGGTTCTCATCATATCCGGCTCACAGAGGACCTGGAGGTTCTGCTCTATCTTCTCCACGACTTTCACTGCCACCTCTGCCCCAGTGAGGCGATGGCGGGCTAGTTTTACCTGGCCATAGCCGCCATACCCAATGTCCCTCAGGACCTCATACTGGTCCTGGAAGACTGCTTCTTTGCAGGAGCCGGGCCCCTGCAGCCCTACACTCGTCTCTCTACTCTGGCTGACCATCCTAAGCCGGAACACCAAGGAAGGAGGCTAGCTAAAAAAAAAAAATAACAGACCAAAACAACAAATGCAAATCAGAAACAAAAACAAGACAAAACAACAAACCCAAATCAAAGAACCAATATCCAAAGACCACCGCCAACACCAACCACCAACCACCAAACGTGCTAACTATCTGGGAGTCCGACAGGTCACCACCAAGAGCTTCCTGTACTTATGGACAAAAGTCCAGCTGCAGCCACTTTCTTATGTACCCGCTGTTTGAGACTTTCTCACAATGGCTCCTTGTGACATCAGAGCCAGTCATTGCCCAGTCATGCCTGGCCGTACCCCCAGTGGTCATCTGTTTTGGGGGCCTCCAGAGCTTTTTCCATTTTCAGAATGGGAATAAGGAAGGACTCCAGACATTTTTCGCTTTAATGGGTTATGGAGACTGATATCTACTTGTTTAGAAATTAAAATTTGTATGGAATTTCAATGTACTTTTCATTTTCAGTCTAAAAATCTGTAATAACTTTGTGCTTTGTAAGAACACACCAGAAATCCACTCAAGATATTCAATTCCTTTTTCTTCCAACTTCAAATAACTGGCGTCAAAAGGACAGTAGTACCTCACTCACATGGTGATGCCACCACAAAATGCTCTGTTCCCTGAGTCACCATGGAGCATGGTATTAACACCTGGGGGTGAGAGGGAGGAAAGGTTCATCATGATTTCCCCACATGGTCCTACACACAATGTAGACGTGCTACATTGTGGCACCTTGACTGAGGGGGACGGAGGTAGAGAGGTACAGGAGAGCATTTTCTGTTAGGGAGGCTGTGCTTCTGTAGGTTCACACCAGAGTTCTTTCTCCATCTCCTGTTAAAGGGAATGCCCAGGGGAACTGCACAGAAATACCTGTAGGACATACCTAAAATGAAGGGGATGGAAATTCAAATATTTTATGTAAAAAAATCAATTAAATAAATAAGATAATCATAAATGAACACAAGGCACAGTGAATCAGGGGCTTGTCCTGCTCTCCTTATAAGGACACAAGCCTGCGAGAATGAGAAGCCCACCCTGCTCTCCTTATAAGGACATAAGTGCCACTGAACCAGCAGCCCACCCTGACCTACCTCCTTATAAGGACGCTGGTCACACTGAAACATAATCTTGCCCTCCTCCCGTATGACCTCTGTCTTAGGTAAATCATCATAGTATTACCATTTCTGAAAACAAGCCCTTATTCCTAGGAGTGGGACAAGAATCTATAGAAATGCTCTGAGAGACATAATTTAACCCCTAAACTCCCCTATCTCTATTTTTCTACGAGTTTTTATCCGTGGATGTCAAAGTTTGTCACGTGGCATTTCTATATCCATCTGTACACTCACAGGTTCCTGGGCTTATCAATGAAGTGCATGTCCTCGGTCAGTGTGGCCTTGCAAACTCCTGATGTCCTACGGCCAATCACCTTTCACTTGGTCCACCTCCTAAAGATTCCAATGGCCAACATCATCCTGCTGAGCAACAAGCTGGGATACATGAACCCTTTGGGGTGGAGACACATTGTACCCAAACCCAGTGACACTATTTTCTTATCACACTGTTGATATCCTCAGGGTCTGTTGTTGAGAGCCACAGCCAAAAGGGCCCCAGCAAACTTCCAGCTGCCAGCTGATGATTGGCTCACAGCGGCCCCAGCAACATCTAGCTGATTGGCTCCTCCACGGAGCTGCTCATTGGGGGACTTCTTTGGCTCTGCCCACGAAACCCAGCCAATCGGCCTCAAGAGCAGGAGGATTGTGGGAGGGGGAGAGGCTGGTGTGGGGGTGAGAGGCGTGTGGGAAGCCGGTGGTGGCAGTTGGGCTCTGAGGGTTTTTTCCTGAGGAGCTGTTTTGTTTGGCGTTTGTAGTTCTAAAAATAAAGTTAGTTTCTTTTGACAAGTGGCTCCTGAATTGTGCCCAGCCAGACTGCGGCAGTCTGTCATAATTAATATTCCATCTAATATTTGGTATTGGAAATTTGTCTGTTCTTTCTTCCGTGTTATTATAAATTTGTAAATTTTATTAATCATTTCAAACAACCAGCTTTTTGTCCCACTGATTTCTTCCATTATTTTTTTTCTAATTTTTAAAAATTTGTTCTTTTTAGTTGTACATTATAGTAAAATGTATTTGGACATACCATACATACATGGAGTCTAACTTTTTATTCTTATGATGCTGGAGGTGGACTTGTCCTGTATTCATATGTGAACATAGGAAACTTATGTCTGATCTGTTCTACTGTCTTTCTTATTCCCATCTTCATTCCCTTCCTTCATTCCCCTTTGTCTAATCCAATGAACTTTTGTTCCACCACCCCTTATCTTGTTAGTATCCACACATTAAAGAGAATATTCAGTCTTTAGTTTTTTGGGATTGGCTTATTTCCCTTTAGCATGGTAGTCTCCAGTTACATCCATTTACCAGCAAATGCCATAATTTCATTCTTCTTCGTGGCTAAGTAATATTCTGTTGTGTATATATTAACACATTTTCTTTCTCTATTCATGTGTTGGAGGATACCTAGGTTGGTTTCATAGCTTAGGTATTGTGAATTGAGCTGCTGTAAACATTGTTGTGGTCGCATCACTATAGTATGCTGGATTTCAGTCCTTTGGATATATGCTGAGGAGTGAGATAACTGGGTGAAGTGGTGGTTCCATTCCAAGATTTTTGAGGCCTCTCTATTCTGCTTTCCAGAGCGGTTAACACCAATTTTCAGTCCCACCACCAATATATCAGTGTGTCTCTTTCTCCACATCCTTGCCAACATTTATTGTTAGATGTATTCTTGATAATTGTCATTCTGACTGGAGTGAGATGGAATCTCAGTGCAGTTTTAACTTGCATTTCTCTACTTGTTAGAGATGTTGAGTATTTGTTGACCCTTCATATTTCTCATTCCTGTGGTGTGTGTGTGTGTGTGTGTGTGTGTGTGTGTGTGTGTGTGTGTGATTTTTCTTGGTGGAGGCATTTTGAGTTTTTTCTGTATCCTGGAGATTTATGCTCTGTCTGAATGCAGGTGGAAAAGATTTTCTCCCATTATATAGGCTCTTTGTTCATGTTCTTTATTGCTTCCTTTGCTGTGAAGAAGCTTTTTAGCTTGATATCATTCCATTTATTGATTCTTGGTTTTACTTCTTGTACTTTTTGAGTCTTGTTGAGGATTTGATTCCTAAGTGAATATGATGGAGATCTGGGCCTACTTTTTCTTAGAAGGTCAGGGTCTCTGGTCTAATGCCGAGGTCCTTGATCCACTTAGAGTTGAGTTCTGTGCAGCAGGGATGGAGATAGGGGTTCAAATTGTTCTACTAAATACTGATTTTCAGTTTTCCCAGACCATTTGTATAAGAGGCCATCTTTTCTCCAATGAATATTCATGGCACCTTTAGCTAATATAAGATAATTGTATTTATGTGGGTTTGCCTTTGTGTCTTCTATTCTGTACCAATGATCTTCTTGTCTGGTTTGGTGCCAATAGCATGTCATTTTTGTTAAAACTCTGTAGTAAAATTTAAGGTCTGGTATTTTGATGCCTTCTGTGTCATTTTTCTCTCTGAGGATTGCTTTGGTTATTCTGGGCCTCTTATATGAATTATAAGAATTCAGTCATGAATTACATGACTGCTTTTTCTATTTCTGTGAAAAACATCATTGGGATTTTAATAGTAACTGCATGAAATAGGTAATGCACTTTTGTTATTATGGCCATTTTGACAATATTAATTCTGCCTATCCAAGAACATAGGAGATGTTTTGTTCTTCTAAAGTCTTCTTCAATCTATTTATATAATGTTCCGTGTTTTTAACTGTAGAGGTCTTTCACCTCTTTTTCTAGACCAAACATCCATTTTTTTTAAGCTATTTTGAATGGGATTATTTTTCTGATTTTCTTTTAAGTTGATTCATCACTAATGTGTAGGAACACAATTGATTTATGGGTATTAATTTTATATCCTGCTATATTCTAGAAGCTTTCTGATGGAGTTTTCTGTGTCTTCTAAATATACAATCATGTCATCAGCTAATAGGAATAATTTGAGTTCTTTTCCTATTTATATCCCTTTAATTTCTTTTTTCCAACTTTTTTTTATTAGAGTTTCTAGGACTATGTTGAATAGAAGTAATGAAAGAGGACACCCCTGTCTGGATCCAGTTTTTATAGTGAAAGCTTTCAATTTTTCTCCATTGAGAATGATGTTGGCCTTGCATTAGCGTATGGACTTTTTACATTGTTAAGGTATATTCCTACTGTCTCTGGTTTTTCTATTGTTTTGAACATGAATGGATGTTGAATTTTGTCAAATACTATTTCTGCATCATTTGAGATAATCATGTGATTCTTGTCTTTAAATCTAGTGATGTGATGAATTATGTTTATTGATTTCCATATGTTGAACCAATCTTGCATCCATGGGATGAACCCCCAGTTGATTGTGGTGCACAATCTTTTTAATATGTTTTTGTATGCAATTTGCCAGAATTTTATTAAGAATTTTTGTATCTGTGTTCACCAGGGATATTGATTTGACATTTTCTTTCATTTGTGTGTCTTTGTCTGGTTTTAGTATCTGGAGACTATTAGCTTGATAGAATAAGTTTGGAAGGATCTTCTCCATTTCTATTTCATGAAATAATTTGAGGAGGATTGATGTTAGCTCTTCTTTGAAGGTCTGGTAGAACTTGACTGAGAATCTATCTGGCCCTGCACTTTTCTTTGTTGGTAGGCTTTTGTTGGTGTCTTCAATTTCATTGCTTAAAATTTATCTGTTTAAAAATTGTGTGTCATTCTTATTCAATTTGAGGAGGTCATAAGTCTTTAGAAATTTGTTGATGTTTTTAAGATTTTCTACTTTATAAGAGTATAAATTTTCAAAATAATTTCTGATTATCATTAGTATTTCAGTAGTATCCTATGTGATATTTCCATTTTCATCATAAATTTTTATAATTTGAATTTTCTCTCTCTTTCTGTTTGTTAGCTTGGCTAAGGGTTTATCAATATCATTGATTTTTTCAAAGAACCAACTTTCTGTTGTGTTAAATTTTTGAATTTTTTTTGTTTCAGTTTCATTGATTTCAGTTCTGATTTTAATTATTTCCTGTCTTCTATTATTTTTTGTCATTGATTTGTTCTTATTTATTTATTTATTTATTTATTGGTCTCTAAGA